CCATCAAGTTATCTTCCCTCTTTATGACCGCATCCAGTGTGTGGCCATCGGTGTGTAGCTTCTGTCACGTGCTGAATCAGACCCCTGGAATCTAGAAGCCCAGAGAACTGGCGAGCATCAACATTAGATAGATCATCTAAGTGGAAATTACACATGTCGCTTAATAACATTAATGAAAAAAAAGGAGAACTTATGGTTCAATTACCTAAACAATTGAAAATGGGAACGAATGGTTCAATAACATTTATGAATGAAAAGGAGAACGTATGGTTCAATAACATTAATGAATGAAAAAGGAGAACGTATGGTTCAATAACATTAATGAATGAAAAGGAGAACGTATGGTTCAATAACATTCATGAATGAAAAGGAGAACGTATGGTTCAATAACATTAATGAATGAAAAGGAGAACGTATGGTTCATAATCAGCTTATTGTGTTCAGGGTAACCCGTTAGTTTTTCATTACCATTATCAATAATACATAAATATACTGAATTACAGATCGGATTCTTTTAAGGATCAGAATTCACCCTTTTAAATTTGTGATGTTCCGTTAAAACATATTCTTACTCTGTGAAATACTCTGTCAATAAAATATTGCTCTGTGAAATATATTCTCTCCCTACAGAAGTAATGACTTGCAGCCGAGCAAAACTGTTCCATCCTTACCAAGACCTTCTTCAATCTATGGCCGTTAATATACCCATCCCCTTAAAAATGTGTTGTATCTGTCAGCTTGACATATGTTATTGGATTGATTTGTTAATAAAAATGAACTCAAATCACTGTCGTTCTCCGCTTTACCCCGACCATATCGACGTGGAAATGTTAGCCGCCTGTCGAGGTTTAGAGTATTGATATGCGCTGTCACAGCCTAATAACCGCAATATTTGTTTAGGACACTCCTGACCAAACTATATATAGCGTCAATCTCTGACCCAAAACTGGAATCACTCCTACGGGTTTTATGAAATAAGAAAATGGAATAAATGGAACAAGAGTTTTAGTAATGAGTTCCTATGAGCACGGACTTAGATAACATTCCGTGCTATGAGATAAGATGGCATTCTAGACTTTCGGGGCTTCTTCCTATCAGTCGATAATAAAATGGTTTCACAAATATTGCTTCAAAGAGCGTCTTAAAATAAATACAGGTAAAAGGTATTACTCTTACAAAAGTTATTCTTACAAAGCACAAATTTTAGATTGAAAATAAGATGCGATCAAGTAAAAAGAAAAATGTTTACATTCTTTGTTAAATTCAAATTTACAAAAAAGGGAAATTAAAACGTATAACTTTGAAAACTGCGAGGAAATAGGAATAGATAAGTGTTGTCAAATACTTCAGGCTCAAATCTTCTGAACCATATTAACTGTCAAAACCATAAGATTTCACACAAGATGTGATATAGCCATGTAATTATGTTTTACATAAATCTTGCTGTGACAATGGGACTAAATCTCCAGGGATGGGACCAGACCAAGGGGTCATTCCTGGTAGCATATGCGTATTCCTTTGTTCATAGTCAACAGCTGTATATATGGTTATGGGATGGGGATCTCAACTATTTCCATGTTATGACGCAGGGTCCAAGCCAGTTTGATGGAGCAGATTCCCAAATCCCAACCTTGTAGTAATTCTGTAGGTCGTTTATGTCAAGCAATGGTATACATGTTAATAACGCTTAAAGGGTGGAGATATTAGCTGTTTCCATTTTATAACCCAGAAAGTAATACCTAGAGACTGTGCTCAGCCCAGGGTCTATTCTGATAGCATGACCGAGCACATCTCTTAATATATGGTTACGACGATTTATTGCTATCAGGGTCAATTCTGATAGCATGACTGCGTTTGCCTCTTCATGCCGAGTGATTGTATATATAGCTGTTGGGTAGTTATTTTTGCCGTTTGAAACTTAAGACCATGGGCTAAGTCTCCATGAGCAGGGCGAAAGCAAGGATCCAAACCAGGTAGCATATATGTATTCTTGTCTTTATGTTCAGCAATGGTATATATTGCTGTAAGGTCGGGATCCTCAACCATTTCCATGTACTGACCATGGGACCAAGTACCAGAGGGCAGGGCGAACCAAAAGACCAGTACTGGTAGGATGCCAGGTTCCCTCTCTTCATGCTTAAGACTTGCATATGTTTAATGGGTACGGATCTCAACCATTCCAATGTCATAACCCATTTTTGTCCCCTCAATTTTGAATTCCAAACACCTGGGAATGTTATGTAACAAAATGGGTGTTGTGAAACAGTTATCGACCAAATATGGTCGACTTCACCTCATAGTTCCAGTCACTTAAAGCAATATTGCTAAACAACCATTTTTGGGCCCTGCATGTATATACAGTTTTGAATTCCCAACAAGAGTCTAATTCCAAACACATATGATTGATACCATGTAAGTTGATTAAAGCAATATGGTAAAATAATCCTTTTTGACACTGCCCTTGATAACTCCATTGTATATTCCTATCACCCCAGAATGCCTCCCTCAAATATGGTTGATATCAATATTTTAGTTCCAGCTTAAAGTAATAGTCACATAACTCGTTTCGGTCCAGTCACTCCGTCCATCCATTTGAGCAATCTTGAATCCCCACCCCTTAAGGATGCTTCCAGTCAAATTTGATAAAATTATATTGTGGTTTAGAAGGAGAAGTAGTCTTGAAAGAAAATCATTGATGACAGATTTGTTCTTTGAAGATTTTACATATTTAACCATATTGTCTTCAAAGCAAAGGACAGAGGCCCGTTCGTCTGATGTGTACCAGGTAAGCTATTAATCAGTCAATGTCTACACTGGTGTAATAGGACGAGGAATACTGATAAAGTGCCGTCGCTGGGGCTCGAACCCGCGTCCCTTGGCTCTCCAGCCCCATGCTCTACCGCTGACCTAAAGGGAAATTCCCTACAGCTGACACTTGTAAGGCAAACAAATTAATCCACATCTTTTACACTATTCTCCCCTTTTTTCAAACACCAACCCAGGTTCTTTGACTCCCCGCCAAGGGTTCTCCTACCTTGACCGGGGAGGGTCAACGACACCAATTTGTAATAGGACGAGGAATAGTGATAAGAAAGTGCCGTTGCTGGGGCTCGAATCCCCGTCCCTTGGCTCTCCAGCCCGATGCTCTACCGCCGAGCTAAAGGGAAATTCCCTACAGCTGACACTTTTAAGGCAACCTAATTAATCGACATCTTTTACACTGAGATGAGTATACTTAACTCCAAACATCCAGTAACAGTCTAGCTATAGAATTTCTTCCAGTAGAGAACAGAAAAAGAACAAAAACACAGTATAAGTGGATATTTTGTATTTTTCCAGCTCATACACTTTGACTTGGGAGCGTTCCAATTCAATGACAATGTAATATACACTGTTTTCAATAATACATAAGACAGATAGGCTCAATGGACACTTCTAGATATAAAAGCCAATCACTAATAACTTAAAACTAACCTTGCATGCTTACATACATACATACACATCACTCAGGCTCCGTACACAAGGGTAAACAACTTTGGTCCGTGTGTTAATATAGGGTCCAAACAGCAGACTTAAGAACAAGTAATTCTAACGTATGCTATAACGTCTTTTCAAAAGATGTAGAAGGCATTTTTTTTTTTGTTCACATTTCAATGCATGATATCAAATATTTTAAAACGGATTACAATTTGAATCCTTTGAACGCATCGTGTAGTCAAACATATTCATACATGGTTTAGTTTACCCTAGGTAAACAAAATAATGCAAAATAAAGAAAATATCCCCAAATCAGATAATTCATTCATAAGGTATCTGTCCTTTAGTTTTTCTGACCCTATTTTTTGGGAAAAAACCCACTTTTCTTCGTTCCTGATCTGATTAGAATACACATGCATCAACTCGGTAATGGATACATTAACATTTGTATTTTAGTCGGATTGCCGTAGTCCCAGATATGGCTATTTTTTTCTGCTAGTCAAAATGGCCGAACGAAACATTAGCCATGAAGAGTCTAAACAAGAGGCCCAAGGGCCTTAGCGGTCACCTGAGTTATATCATAGGAACTGGTAGCTTTATTTTATTGTTCAGATGTGATGTGGAAATCAGCATGTAAACTAAGTGAAATACAATACTTGTCATGTCATCAAAAGATAAGAATTTGAAAATATTGGTAAATGTTCCCTTTGGGGCCCCGCCCTGGCCCCAGGGATTGGGGTAGGAATCTCAATTTTACAATTTAAAAGCATCATCCCCCAAGGATAATTCTCACCAAGTAAAAATAATTACCTACAGAAAGTTGTCAAAATATACCCAAAAGCATTATTTCCCTATATAAACTATAGTAAACTTTACCCCCTCCCCATGGGATAACGGATAGCTTGGGGGTCCTGATATTTACAGTTTAAGTAAGCCCCTGATGATCTTTCTTTTCATGTAGAGAAAATGACTGTAGTCCCTCTGAGTCTGAAGAAGATGATTTTTGAAATATTGGTTAATTTTCCCTTTGGGGCCCCGCCCTGGCCCCAGGGATTGGGGTAGGAATCTCAATTTTACAATTTAAAAGCATCATCCCCCAAGGATAATTCTCACCAAGTAAAAATAATTACCTACAGAAAGTTGTCAAAATATACCCAAAAGCATTATTTCCCTATATAAACTATAGTAAACTTTACCCCCTCCCCATGGGAGAACGGATAGCTTGGGGGTCCTGATATTTACAGTTTAAGTAAAGCCCCTGATGATCTTTCTTTTCATGTAGAGAAAATGACTGTAGTACCTCTGAGTCTGAAGAAGATGATTTTTGAAATATTGGTTAATTTTCCCTTTGGGGCCCCGCCCTGGCCCTAGGGGTTGGGGTAGGAATCCCAATTTTACAATTTTGTAGCCTCATCTACCAAGGATGATTCTGACCAAGTTTGAAAATATTCCATCCACTGGTTCTTGAGAAGAGGTTGAAAATGTGAAAAGTTTACAAACGACAACGGACGGAAAGCGATTAGAATAGATCACTTGAGCAAAGCTCAGGTGACCTAAAAAAAGAGGAGAATTTTCAAATTTCAAATGAAATAATAAAACTCCCAAATTCAGAATGCTATAATTTATCCTTTATATCTCTTTTCTCAAATACCGATATGAAATATGACGATGACTGTAGGCTTTCATCAAACCATGGGGTAAAACATCAAGTGCTGTGGTCACGGAACTGTCTTCAACTTAAGGATCCCAGTCCCACTGTACTGTGGTATTTCATGCTACAGTTACCTCCCCTTAATTTCGTTTTATGAATAACTCAACCCTTTCACCCCTAAAGTCACATTTGAACCTGACAAAATCAGAGACTGGGCAAGTCCATTATAAATATTTAGGGATGAATAATTCCCAGTCCAGCCCTGCTGAATGTTTACACTCAGAACTCTGTTGTTTATTTTATTTTATTAATTTTATCTTTTATATTTTTTTCATAAAGGGAAGCAAGGTATTGTTTTCTTTACAGAAATATTTAAGTCATGCCAGAGAAAAGTTTCTAATGCATAGTAGAACCTTTTGGCAGGAGTTTTAATTTAGAATGTTGATAAAATAAAATTTTCTCCAGGCATGCAATTTGAAAGTGAATTTGTCCATATTTCACTTTCAAATTGGAATTGAAATCCACCATCTTTGATCCCTAATTCCTGCTACCAGTTTAGATCTGACCATGAAATGTCCCAGGTATTGTATTTCCGTATCATACATGTACAGTTTGTTCACATCATAGCACAACCTTTAGTTTGAAATAAAAAAACATCACAAATTTACGACTAGAAGTAATATAATACTTGACATGCACTTTTGGATATAGGAGCCTGCTAAACAGTAAGTTATAAGTCAATAAAAATGAGCATGCATGTTTCTAATCTTATAATAGGTTACAAGGCTGAGCATATGATTAAAAACATCAACCTTCCCACTTAATTTCTACATTATACCACCTCTCCGCACGCCCTGTGGGTCGGACATCATATATTTATTACACATTAAAAATATTCACAAAGAGATTCAAAATCTTAACATTTTAAGCACTGCTGGAGACAATTGTAGATATTAGTGGATTACAGCTTCTTGTTACAGTCCTTCTCCGGACTAATGTAACACTGAAGGCCAGTCACGAACAAATCTGCAAAAGAGTCGAATTACCAGCAAAAGGAAAATTGCTATTTCCGTTTTTTGATCATACAATTGCATACAGTATAAAACAGATCAGATCTTTGGGAGAAACATACATGTACTGTACACCAACTGCCTCGCATCAAAAAATGTCAATATAACTCACAAACTGACCATTGGTCAACAGTATTCAAGTATCCAGTTCTTCACCAACACAATCCTTCATGATGCACATCAATCTTATTAAACTCATCCAATTTTATTATTGCCTAATAAAAAGACTGTTTTTCTAAACTTGACAATTATATCAGAATATGCTGGTTTATAACTCCGGAATCAAATGTGTATTCACTATATTAGTCTTTTTTCTGCTTAATTTCGAGGAATCTATTTTAGGAATCCTGTACTCAACCATACACAAGTTAATCACATGTAAAGCAACTTTTATCAAAAAGAATTCCAAAATAATAGAAAATGTATAAAAGGTCTTATCAACAGTAATTGAAGCCTGTTCATTAATTGGTGACAAGTTTGAAATCCTAACAGTTTATACATCCATGATTCTCGAACAGAGCAAGGGGAGATTACTCTCACACAAATCACAGGAGTTGGATGTTGAGCAGCATACATCCTTAATGTAGGAGGCAAGTAGTCTTTCACTAGCAAAAGTACATGTGTGTTTTATTACACAAGACGTTCAACTCAAACACCGATTTCAATTTCTTTTCAGAAAAAGTATCAAAACACACAAATTCAGATTGTAATATCTGCAGTGTTCTTTACATGTTGTTTCATTCTTAAGATAGACAAAAATCATAAATAGTGACCAATTATTGGCTACAACTACTTATGCCAGTGATGTCTTTTAACCAATGGCCATACAAAGGTAGTTGTTTACATGACATGACGGGCTGAAATCCAGACTTTTATCTAGAAAAAGATGTTAAGCTTAACTTTCAAACTTTCAATGTTTTCTTAAGAAAATGTTTATCTATCCTTAACACTGCAATAACTTCTTAAACAAATGGATATTTACTTAATTCTCAGAGAAATAAGGTATGGATGTTAAGCAAACTGACAGCAATGGTGGTTCAATTGAGCACCAAAAGCACATCAACTTTCAACATTGACATTTGACACTGCTGGGCGTCTTCAGTGTATATAATATCTACTGATGACAGTGGTCCTTCACAAGAATACACAATAATACATGACAATATAAAAATATTCCAGTCATACACCTACGTCATAACAGATATTATTATACATGATAATATATAAAGGTGTAGAAATACTTATATCACAATGACTCCATCTTGCAGACGGAGGGCATGACCTTATCAGACTGGGAGGGCATGACCTAATCAGACTGGGAGGGCATGACCTTGGATCAGCCGGTAACTACGTATTTTATCAGACTGGGAGGGCATGACCTTCGATCAGCCTGTAACTACGTATTTTATCAGACTGGGAGGGCATGACCTTAACAGACTGGGAGGGCATGACCTTCGATCAGCCTGTAACTACGTATTTTATCAGACTGGGAGGGCATGACCTTCTATCAGCCGGTAACTACCTATTTTATCAGACTGGGAGGGCATGACCTTCCACCAGCCTGTAACTACATATTTTATCAGACTGGGAGGGCATGATCTTGGATCAGCCGGTAACTACGTATTTTATCAGTAACCAATCAGAACACAGAAATCTTACACCTATCACAAGCGTTCAACATCTCCATTACAAAGCTTCAATGTGCAGTGCTGTTCTAAAGTAAATCCTATAAAGCAGTAAATGTACAGTGATATTCTATCATTTTGTTTATACATTATCTTACAATAAATTTACACTAAATACAAAGCCATTTTTTTTTTTAAATCCCTGAAGCCAGTCTCAAATGGACCCTGTCTAATCCAGAAATGACCTAGATCTGCAAATAGGTCCCACTATATATCCTGCTATATATACTTCTAAATTTACCTGTATATTCTGAGGAAAAAATAAGTCCAATGTTTGGTTTAGACAGGTTTTATCTATTTGCTGTATAACGGGCTGAATCAGCGATGTGTTACCTGGTATTTTAAAGCTCAAAGCAAAAAAAAGCTTAATTCATGCATAAATGAAAAGGGGGTATCGCAACATATTCTAAAATTTATGTTTTAGCGAAAGTGTTGTTTAGAAGTTTCCAATTACTACAATATGACTGTGAAAATATAACTAAATGTACCACAAAAATTAGCCAACATACAGTATATTAAAAAGACATTACACCCTAGTCTTCGTGTAATTATCCAATTAAGTACATGTACAGAATGTACCAGGACTAGCTTCCTCAAAAAGATCACATACATTACCCACAATTAACATGTGGCCTACAAACTCCCCAACCTGCCTTCTTAAAAAAGATTTCTCTTTAAAAATAAGCTTCTCAAAGCCAATCAATCATATTGGTACATTTTCTCTGTCATTTGTATAAAAAGAAGCCTCACTGCTAGGCATGCAAATCAGAAGAGTCATAGTAAATCTTAAGGGCTACAAGTTAATTTTAAAAACCACTAGCCATTCAGGCAAGTACTTTCCAATTTCTCCAACCCAATATTATTCAACAAAGTAACATCAAATTTTGACTTTTCAATCAGGCTAGTGGTTTTAAGAACTACTAGTCCATCTGGATATTTGGAGTCTCAGACTATCTCCCCCCCCCCCATTTAAGAAAGACAATGACCATTTGCCTCTAAGATATTGAGTTGTACAATTCTTTGTAAATATTTAACTCTGGAAACTCTTCTGCTGCAAAGAAAATAAGCTTGAACATTTCTAGAGACTTATGTCGGATGTCGGTATGCTGATATCTCTGTGTGATATACTGAACACAGCGGGCAAATCTAACTCGAGAGAAGTTTCCAAAACAAACACGGATTAGAAACAAGACTCAGGGTGTACAGATCAAATGCTTCCCAAAGTTTACAAATCATGAAATGAGGAATTTAATATTGTCAGAAGAATTATCTTAAGAACATGGAACTCTTCAAGAAGGCAACAAAATTGTTGTGTTTACACAATATCAGGAAGCATTATAACCTCGTTTAACAAATTTCTCAATATTTGTTGACGTCTATATCATTGACGAGATTTTATGTTGTTGTGTTATTTTTTTTAAGATCATTATACCCAAAACTCTTTTTTTTTCTAATATATACCACAAAGGGAGAAAATAAGGTTATAATGTAAGACACATGTAATGCCATTTCTAAGATCGATAGTCAATATTTTATCATTTTATAAGGTTATTTTGGTATCAATTGATAATACAAAATTAACTGTTTTTATTTCTTGTTCATTCTATGATAAAAATATATTATGACAAAAGTATTTAAAAACAAACTTTTTTAAATGATTGAATTATAGATGTTGAAATTTTCAACGATTCACATTCAGCATCGATATTTTGATATTTTAGCTATGCTTTGGAAAAGGGTAACAGTCATAAATAAACAGAGGATAAGAGCAGCAAAAATTAATTGGCAAGAATTGAAAGGATATATGATGACAGTTAATCAAACACAGCGAACACAAAAGCTACATTATTAATCCAGCTATAAGGATACTGTCTGTTAAAATAAATATTAAGTACTTGTTTTTGAAATGTGAAATAATTCACTACATAAACATAAATAAATCATACAATTTTTCAATATCTGAATAATTTGTCAAACAAAGTAAGTAGTACTGAAACAAAGGATGAAAATAAACTTCAATATGATGAAAATTGCCGCGAGCAATTTGTCACTTAATTAAATTGAATTTCTTGAATTCACAAGAAATATAAACTGTCATCAGAAATACTCGTATAGAGTAATATTTTTGCTTAATTTGAGCCCCCCCCCCAAAAAAAAAAACCCCCACAACATCAGTTGAATAAGATGGGGGAGACTAACTGAATTTAAAAAAAAAAATGCCCCTCACAGATCATTTCTCTAATTTTTGATTTTATCAGAGTTTCTCCTTAAGGAAGATAGAACAATGTATGGCAATTTTTTTTTTTTTTTTTTTTTTTTTAACCCCCCCCCCTAATACTGAAACATAGGTTGAACCACCCCTAGATATCAGGTTTGGGAGTTTAGTTTCAGTGTTCCACGACAAGCTGTGACTGTTAAGTGTTTTAAATGCTGCATTTCATGGCATTTGACGAATGATTTTCAATGAAACTGTTCTAAATGGTTAAATTGACAGAACCAATGGAAAGCCAATGAACTAACATTTTGACAAAGGGAGGTAATTCATTGGTATCCCACTGGTCTTAACACACTTGTCAAACTGAATACATGACATGTGTATCACTGGCCTGTCTTACCGACATTCAAATGATTTTTGATAAGGACAACGTTATACTGACAACCTATAAATAATTAATTACAATTATGTACCTGGAGACTGTCACAACAGCATTTACCCTCCCGTGTATTAAACTAGCTTCTCATGATGGTTTGGTGCATAGGTACCAAAACCAATCTATTCCAAAACTGAAATAATTCATGATTTCTGTTCAAATCTAAACTTTCTGAAGTACCATTACCTAAACACAGAAAAAGTTTGTGCATAGAAATTTCTATTGTCCCATTAATTTTTAAAGTTCTGTAAATATTAGACTGTAATGTACATATTTTAGCACTTTTCATATTTTAGCGGTTTTTTCACGCATTAAACATTGGGCTAAATTATAATTGCGCGAATGGAAGTGTTTGACTACAGTTTTCTACTGCATGTTTTGTGTTTGTCATCAATGCCCGACTCTGTTAATAGATAATACACTAAAAGGTGTGTAGGCTAAAAGAAGGACTCCTACAGCAGTGTAATTCCTATGAACTGATTTCTAATTATGAGTCGCTTTAAGTCCTACTGCATTTTATCTCAACACAGCATCATCGGATTCATCTTAAATTTCCGTGATGTCAACAACAAAGTTCCACTGTATAAACACTGCTCCTGTCAAGCAAAATTATGAGACTTTGTCATGCCCAGGGGTGTAGGATAGGGACATTCCATCCAAGAGTTTTTCTAATATTGGGTAAAACCTGAGGCTTGCCAAGGGTTTTACACCAATTTAAAAAAATCCAAAAGAGTGGAATTTTCCAATCCTACACCCCAAGGCATGAAAGAGGAACTTTTCTTTCCAATTTATGGATTTTTTTTAGAAACAACAAAAAGTCGTCACAATTTCTGCATTCCAGCTTCAGAATTATCTGATTTTGTGCCGTCATGTCTTTGTTGTTCCATGGTGATGTTACGAAACATGATACGGGGTGCAAGATGGAAATTTCTTACAACCTTTCTCACCCTGGACTGTTCTCTTATATCCGCACAGGAATGAGAAATTAATGACAAAAATAGCTGAGGGGAAAAAATAATCAGGTAAGCCGACGTAAAAATATCCAGGTAAGCCGACGTGAAAATATCCAGGTAAGCCGACGTGAAAATATCCTAATATACATCCGACAGGTGGGATCGGTCCATGGTATCATAACAAACATTATTTTAAGAATTTGATTTATGAAATATCATCATAGGTTAAATTTAATCCTAAATGTGAAAAGAATATGTCAATGAAAATGAATCCTCACAATGATCAATGTATAAAAAGATGAACTCCAATGATAGCAATTCGGATAAAAATGATTACTACAGAGACACAGATCGACATACTGGTCATAACACCCTTTTATAAAAGGCATGATCCACAAATATAAAACAATTATGATTATGACCCCTTCTTTTTGACATGTACATGATTTTATATGTATATATATAAACATTAATATTATCTTACGGGATTGACATGGGAGACAGTTGTTTCAACACTGAAAAAGTGTTTGTACATTGCTACTAACTAAACAAGCTGTTTTTTTTACAATTATGCGTCCAACTTATTACATATATCAGACTAAGTACATAGAACAAAGACTCACAAACATGCACAGCTTATTGGGAAATCTTGATCAGTCAGGGAGTGTTACTAGTTGATGCATGTAATTGACACATAAGTTTTTAGTTTGCTGAAATATAATATGTTAATGTATATCAACTTTGGACTTGTATAGAAAAATGTGTTGAATCTGAAAAATAAATTCAAAGAATTTCCAAATAAAAAGAACATTTACATTTACATATTACATGCATAAAAATGTCAATAGGTCAAATTCTGTATTACTTTTAGCGTATTTCTTAAAAAAAAAAACTCTTTGCCAGATTCCTCACAAATATCTGATCAAGTACATTATTGCATGTATTGCTTCCCAATTTGTTTACAATCAGGAATATTTGGACTGACAAAAAATAGTGAGAGACATTTTTGAAAAAAAAAAAATATTCATGAAAATAATCATTCCTGATACGCGAGGAATATAAAAACCTCACAAGAAAAAATTGTGAGGTATTTCTTGCAAAAAAAGATATATTCATCAAAATTATAATTCCTGTAACGATATGCTGACAACAAAGCTAATGTTTTGATTTGAGGTCCGAATCAACAGCACCCCCATCCAGTAAACTGTGTAGTTATCACCCGGTCAGTGATCCCTGCAGTTATCACCCATTCCGTAACCTTGACCCCGCAGCTGTCTCCCATCCAATGACCTTGACCCTGCAGCTGTCACCCATCCAATGACCTTGACCCTGCAGCTGTCATGACAGAATGGCGACACTAAGTCTGGGATTCGTTGTCATGCCGTCAAGGCTGTTGGACCGTAGTAAAGTTGGTTTCTGCCACAGTGTTGATATCGTACCGTCGTTGGACATAGCCTGAAAACAACCCCACATACCACTTCAATGTAACGGATTATCCGATGTATTGTTGAATTACATGAACCAAGCAAAATATTCTAAATCAACATTGTGCTTAATTTTGACCCTAAATTGTTTAGCATTCTCAAAAAAAAAACAATTTGTAATTCTCAAAATATATTTTTTGTATCATATCATTTTACAGCTATTCCAGAAATACACTGGCATAATAAAAATGCCTAAAGTTTCTCTGCCCTTACTTGTGTTAACCTTATTCAGTAACTTAATCTCATTAACCCTTTCACCCCTAAGTAACTTTAGTAGACTCTCCAATGTATTGATATGGATGAGTCTATTATGGTCTATAGTGGTGAAAGGGTTAAAGAATACCAAGCACCGACTATATTCATATCCTGACTACAGCAGCAATTTTAACTTGCTAAATAAATAAATAAATAAATAAATAAATAAATAAATAAAAATAAAAGTCAGTAAGTTTATATATCAACTACATGTGTCCTTTACTTGTTGGTAAGGTAATTCAAAGGTTTCTCGAGGGTTTTTTTGGGGGCTGAAGTTTCAGCGGTAAATTGTGCTGATTACACTAGCAAACGAAATGTGTAAAGTTCCTCAATACTTAACTTGTTGGATTCCAAGATAACTTGAGCTCATTTTACAATACTAATTACCTCATTTTCTTATCCTGCCTTTTCTTTTTGAGGCTGAAGTGGTAACATGCGCTCACTAAACATTACAAAATATCTACAACATCTTTATGTTGCCAGTAACCTGACCTAAAGGAACGTAAGGTGCTACATATACATACCTCCAGTTTTTCTGCTCTTTCTTTGCTGAGGGGCTCCAGTGGGAAGCTCAGCTCGTTAGCGTCGGCCAGAGCTCTCAGATCAAAGTAGTATTTGGCGTACACACTGGATGGTACATTGATGTTAAACTGTAAAAGCTCCAGGAACTGACGCTCCAACTCATTCCTGAAAGAGAAATGGATTTTACAACAATTACAAACAAATTTTCATTACCTTATAATTCTCACTCTTGTTGGCCCGGATTGAAGTGCACAGAGGGTATTAATGTGGGAGGAAACCGGGGTACCCAAGAAAAAACAAACATTCGGTAGTCAGGCTGGTGACCCATGCCAATACCTATTCACGTCTGATCGGGGAATGGAACCCTAACCATGTTAGTGATATTCATCACTCTTGTTGGCCCAGACTGTAGTGCGCAAAGGGTATTAGTGTGGGAGGGAACGGGAATACCCAGAGAAAACCCACATGGTTGGGCAGTTGACCCCCAGCCGTCTCGGTGAAAGGTGAGTGTGCTCTCCGCTGCGCCACCTGACCACACAATTTATTCCTTCAACTGGGCAAGTACAAATCAAAATCATAATCTTATATTAAAACAAATTTCGGCCCGATAAAGTTTCCTCAGAAATGGTATGAATTTTATTGATCATTCTTCATATAATTTACGTCTCCATTTTTTAGTCTTTCATTTTGCTGAATTTTAATATGCTTTGTCGTGTCATGCCTTTAGATCTTGATCCCAGTGGAGTTTGATTTAAGATGCACCCTTTTTGAGATACAGATAATATCTTGAAATAGAAAATGACCCCCCTCCCCATGCTCCAACATATGTTATTATTCAATGCATTTTAAATGGTAGTCATAAAAGATTCTAATTCAACATAATGACCCTGCTCATAATTGGAATACAAGAGGCCCAAGAGGGCCTGTATCGCTCACCTGAATATTTAAGCAGTCATAGCCAAATATTCTCATTAAATATTATATTGCACTAAAAATATTTCCCTCGCAAACTTTGTTGGCTCCATCTGTTGAAACTACCAGCAAAATATTATTATAAGATTCTATGCTTTTTGATTCTTCTTCAGAAGTTGCTTGACATATTTTTCCCTGTGATCTTGTAAGTAGGTCAATGTCATTTTCCTTCTCAAATTGGTTAGCTCTATTCCAAAAAGCTACCAGCCAAATCTTATGAATCCATTCCTTTTAGTTCTCAAGAACAAATCCATTAAAATGTTGTTGACCTCTGTGACCTCTAAAGTAGGTTGAGGTCATTTTCATTTGCAAACTTTGGTGAGCTCTATCCCGGGAAGTCACCAGCCAAATATTATAATTTTATGCCTTTTAATTCTTCAGAAGAAGCTGTTTGAACTGTTTGACATATTTGAACGCTGTGACCTTGAAAGTAGGTCAAGGTCATTTTCATTCGCAAACTTTGTTTGGCTCTTTCCCAGGAAGCCACCTGCCAAATATTAAGATTTTATAACTACCAGTTCTTCAGAAGAAGTCGTTTAAAGTGTTTGACATATCTGCCTCATGTGACCTTAAAAGAAGGTCAAGGTCATTTTCATTCTCAAACTTTGTTCGGCTCTTTCCTAGGAAGCTACAAGCCAAATATAGAGATTATATACCTTTCAGTTCTTCAGAAGAAGTCGTTTGAAGTGTCTGACACATTTGACTCCTGTGACCTTGAAAGAAGGTCAAGGTCATTTTCATTCTCAAACTTTGTCGGGCTCTATCCAAGGAAGCCATCAATCAAAAATAAAGATTCTATACCTTTCAGTTCTTCAGAAGAAGTCATTTGAAGCTTTTGACATATATGACCCCTGTGACCTTGAAAGTAGGTCAAACTAGTTTTCATTCTCAAACTTTGTTGGGCTCTATCCCAGGAAGCCACCAGCCAAATATAAAGATTATATACCTTTCAGTTCTTCAGAAGAAGTCGTTTGAAGTGTTTGACACATTTGACCCCTGTGACCTTGAAAGAAGGTCAAGGTAATTTTCATTCTCAAACTTTGTTGGGCTCCATCCAAGGAAGCCATCAGCCAAATATGAAGATTCTATACCTTTTAATTCTTCAGAAGAAGTCGTTTGAAGTTTTTGACATATTTGACCCCTGTGACCTTGAAAGTAGGTCAAACTAATTTTCATTCTCAAACTTTGTTGGTCTCTATCCCAGGAAGCCACCAGCCAAATATAAAGATTCTATACCTTTCAGTTCTTCAGAAGAAGTCGTTTGAAGTGTTTGACACATTTGACCCCTGTGACCTTGAAAGTAGGTCAAGGTCATTTTCATTCTCAAACTTTGTTGGGCTCTATCCCAGGAAGCCATCAGCCAAATATGAAGATTCTATACCTTTTAGTTCTTTAGAAGAAGTCGTTTGAAGTTTTTGACATATTTGACCCCTGTGACCTTGAAAACAGGTCAAGGTCATTTTCGTTCTCAAACTTTGTAGGGCTCCTACCAACGAAGCTTTCAGCCAAATATCATGACTCTAGGCCTGTCCGTTCTTCAGAAGAAGTTGTTTAAAGGAAAAGTTGACGGACGAGGACGGCAGGACAGACGGACGGACGGACGGCGGACAGACGACGGACGCCGCGCCACGGAATAAGCTCACCTGGCACTTCATGCCAGGTGAGCTAATAACCAAAAATTTCAGAATTCAGATAGCTGTCCTGAAATGTGTTTTTGTTAAGTTATTACAATAACATTTAAATAACAACTCCAAGCTGTACCGTTTCATATTTAGATTTTTAGCGGGTCAACATATTTAGAAAATTCATAGATTTTTTTTTTCTTTTTAACTAACCCTTATTTCAAAATCTACCAGTCCTGGGCCTCATGCAACTGGAATCTCACACGCCTAGTAGTTATGTGTGCTGTGTGTTATTTGGTCTACAGATCTATAACTGGACTAGAGATTGTTTTTGAATACAAATAATCAATTGGGGTAGTAGTTTCCAAATTTCACTAATCCACTTACTAAATATTATTCCACAAGAGAAGCAATATCAAATTTTGACTAGTTTTCAGAACCACTAGTCCAGCTGAAGGTTTTGATAGTCACCAGGCTACCCTTGTTGTCTAGCCCCGTTATAAAAGTGACCTTTGATTTTGTGCTTATTTTACAGTTTGTCCATTGTCACGTAAAAACTTTACTTACACATCCTCCACAGCAAGGTCCTTGAGGATTTGACAGTAGTCGACGTTCCATACTGCTTGATCATCCCACACCTTGGAGGACAACAAGATGGCTCCCAGCACGATCCTCTTCCAGTTTGCTGGCATAATACCAATCTCCGCGTAGTGGAGGAGTCGTTCTAAATAAACCTGGGATAACAAAGAAAATAATTAACAAATTAGTACTGTAACTTGTACTGGTCAGATTTAACAATTTGTGCGATGGACTAGCAGCATATTCCAGGCGCATTTAAAAGACATAATTTATCAGTAACCAGGTACATCATTTCATCACCCCTCCCTTTTTTTGAGAGGAATTGAAATTATATAGACCCCCTCCCAGTCCTGGTCAAGAACAAATGTATTCAGTGAATGTTTTACCATTGTACGTATACAATACATGCCTAGTGGACTACTTGTAGAACCAACACTGTACAAGTACAATACACGCCTCGTGGACTACTTGTAGCACCAACATTGTACGTGTACATTACACGCCTAGTGGACTACTTGTTAAACCGACATTGTACGTATACACTACATGCCTAGTGGACAACTTGTAGAACCAACCCTGTACGTTTACAATACACACCTAGCGGACTACTTGTAGAACCGACACTGTAGGTGTACAATACACACCTAGGGGACTACTTGTAGAACTAACATTGTATGTGTACAATACACACCTATTGGATTACTTGTAGAACCAACACTGTACGTGTACAATACACGCCTCGTGGACTACTTGTAGTACCAGCATTGTACGTATACAATATACACCTAGTTGACTACTTGTAAAACCAACATTGTACGTGGACAATACACGCCTAGCGGACTACTTGTAGAACCAACCCTGTACGTTTACAATACACGCCTAGCGGACTACTTGTAGAACTAACATTGTATGTGTACAATACACACCTAGCGGACTACTTGTAGAACCAACCCTGTACGTTTACAATACACACCTAGCGGACTACTTGTAGAACTAACATTGTATGTGTACAATACACACCTAGTAGACTACTTGTAGAACCAACATTGTACGTATACAATATACACCTAGTGGACTACTTGTAAAACCGACATTGTACGTGTACAATACACGCCTAGTGGACTACTTGTAGAACCAACATTGTACGTGCACAATACCCACCTAGTGGACTACTTGTAGAACCAACATTGTACGTGTACAATACACACCTAGTGGACTGCTTGTAGAACTAACATTGTATGTGTACAATACACGCCTAGTGGACTACTTGTAGAACCAACATTGTACGTGTACAATACACACCTAGTGGACTACTTGTAGAACCAACATTGTACGTGTAAAATACACGCCTAGGGGACTGCTTGTAGAACCAACACTGTACGTGTACAATACACACCTAGTGGATTACTTGTAGAACCAACATTGTAGGCGTACAATACACACCTAGTGGATTACTTGTAGAACCAACATTGTACGTGTACAATACACACCTAGTGGACTACTTGTAGAACTTACATTGTACGTGTACAATACACGCCTAGTGGACTGCTTGTAGAACCAACATTGTATGTGTACAATACACACCTAGTGGACTACTTGTAGAACCAACAATGTATGTATACAATACACGCCTAGTGGACTACTTGTAGAACCGACATTGTAGGTGTACAATACAGGCCTAGTGGACTACTTGTAGAACCAACAATGTATGTATACAATACACACCTAGTGGACTACTTGCAAAACCAACATACCGTAGTCACTGTAAATAACTTGTAGAACCAGCATTGTACGTGTACAATACACGCCTAGTGGACTACTTGTAGAACCAACATACCGTAGTCACTGTAAATAACTTGTAGAACCAGCATTGTACGTGTACAATACACGCCTAGTGGACTGATTGTAGAACCAACATTGTATGTGTACAATACACGCCTAGTGGACTGCTTGTAGAACCAACATTGTACGTGTACAATACACACCTAGTGGACTACTTGTAAAACCAACATACCGTAGTCACTGTAAATAGTGCCAAGGGTGCTTCAAAAATGGTCTTAAAGGGGGTACTTATTAGGATATTATAATGAGAGTTAGAAGAGAAACAGATGTTATCATCATCAAAGGACTTTATATACATTCCAGTGTGACTGGAGGCTTGATAATTAAATGTTGATCTGCTTCACCAGATGTCCAGCTATAACCACCAGATTTAATCTGCTTTAAAGTGTAAATACTATAAATCATTGACCAGGTCTGGTCAGGAATGGGAGGGGGTCTATATAATTTTAATTCCTCTCCAAAAAGAGGGGAAGGGCACTTATGGAGAGATGGGTGCTAATTATGGCAATTACAGTATTGCAGTGTATAAAACAGTTATATGTACCGAAATAAATTCTTTTCTTTACACCTGAAATATGCTGCCAATTCACACACAGACTGACAACTCTCACCAGTGCTAGGAATAGTTATTAGATTTACTGCATTTTTCATTTTTTTATTATGCCCCTTCAGTTATCTAGATGAAATTTGTTTTATATTTATAATTTAAAATCTCTTCTCTTCAGATATATTTTTTGCATTGAAAAGCATGCAGTCACATTCTTTTTAAATGCTGCAAGAAAACTTTCAGTAAGGTAGCATTGTAACCATAAACTCAGTCACCCCTGAGGACACATTTGAACTCTTCCAATTCAAAGGTTGGAAGAGTCCACAATGAAATTTCAGGCGTATATGAGATAATCAAAACAACGTCCTGTAGATGTCCAAGACCACTTACCAAGGTCACTATTGCACATTCCGCGGTCAACTGGGCCGCACTGAACAGATTTCTTACAAATCGGTAGATCGTCTTGTGTTCCGGGTCTCGAGAATCATAGTCCTCTGGAACTATTTCCCTCTGAAACATGGCAAGGTATTCAGGTTAACACGGTGTGGTTGAATAACATAGTACGGTAGAATACTGATATTTTACACAAGTTTGAAGCTTGAATGAACAATAATGGTAGGTTCTGCCTTTAGAGAGAAATAAAAAATGGTATTTTTTGAAAGTGGTCATTATTATTTTCCAATGCCTCTGCCAAGAATCAAACCCAGGATCCTTACTAAGGAAAAAAAATGAAAACAATATGTATAAACATAGAGAGTACTCAAGTATATATAACACTACATTTAATAAGTAACTTATAGATTGATTGCCCCAAAACACCCGACGCGCTAAAAATTGCCCTTTAAATAGCATGTTGCATGCTAAAAAGTGCCCCTTTATTCTGGTGAGCGCCCTGCCCTTTTCAAATCCTAACTGGAACACTGCTTAGTACACTAGTCTGGCGTTTGACGTCTATTAATTATGGTCAGATTATTGTGATTACACTCACTCCACTGAATCTGCTGCAGATTATTTTTCACCTTTTTCGGCCTTCGTAATTAGGGTGAGTTATCATTACAGCTAGTATAAGTAAACAGCATAATAAACCTAGTAATTAAATATGAAGTGAAAAATTAGTTTCATGGGCGGAGGAAGAAAGTTTGACAAGGTGAAAATTTCCCAGTATACAGGATTAACCTTTCACCCCTAGGTAACTTTAGTAGACTCTACCATGCATTTATTGGGAGGAGTCCATCGTGGTCTACAGTGGTGAAGGGTTAAACCCAACTTACAGACAAGGGATGGAGCTTTTCATCAAAGATCTCAATGGTGCGATTACTCTCCCGGTTTTTTATATGAAAGTAGATGGCATACGCTACAGCTTTGATCGTATTCTTCAGGTTGGGCTGGCTCACAGTGGAATCGTCTATAAATATTGTTGAACATGAGCTGAACTTTTTCATTGCCGTGGGTGGCGGGTTCTGCAATACAATAAAGAATTCACAAAAATAAGATTTCTGTAACAATCGCATGAAAAATATATTCATTTTTTTTTTAAATTTTGATGCGCTTAACAGTTAAAAACTTGAAATACATGTGTATTTTGAGATGTCTGTTGAATTGTGTTTCCCAAATATTTTCTCTAATCACCATCCATGTTCTGCTGGTTATTGAAGCGATTTATATATAAACATCTAGAGCTAAAAAAAAATGGTACGCTTTTCATAATTTTCCTCAATTCAACATCAGATATTGTAGCAGAACTAGTATCTTCAGCAGAACTACAAAGCATTTTTAAAATGCATCAAATTGGTGATGTGCAATGTTTGCACAAGGAATTCGAACAGAAAGTATTTAATGGTGGTTTCATAATTGGCCAACAATGCAATGCAAATGCAAATGTGCCCGTTTTCATTTTTCTTCTGCAAAAGATAACAGGAGGAAAAAGTGTAGCGAAACTGCGTCAATCGTCCGTGACTAGGTAGCCTGATTGGTAGATCGTCCTTCTGGAGTTTGGAGGGTGCCGGTTCAAACTCCGGTCTGGCCGTGCATTTTTCCTCTCCTGTTACAAAAGTAAACTAAACTGTGGATGATGCAAGGAGTCAAAGAATTGCCTTTCCCACTCCACCTCACCTGCTCAACGTATACCTGAATTAGCCTTTGTATAATATAAAATCTTTGTCAATCCTACCTGAAGTTGTAAGATCCTGTTGTCGTATTGACTCCTTCTTCTGTTTCTGTTGTCTGTAACAGAAAGTACATTTATTGTCAAAAAATCCATGTAACAGAGGTCATTATTTTTTCAATTTCTCCGCTAGGAGTCGAACACGGGACAGCTGGCTTACTACTCTTACTCACTACCGAAAGAGCTAAAGAGAAATTCTCCCTAGCCGAGAAGGTAGGAAGCAGCTAGTATTTTACCAGGGTGTTATATCTACTCCAAAACAGTGGGCTATCTATACAAGGTCAAAAAACATGTGTGTTTCTGGTTACATGACTGAAAAAAATATGGTAGTAGGTTGGTAGTCAAATAATTTCATTTCAATTTTTTATTTTTTTATATTCATGGATGAACATGATGTTTGATATCAAATTTTACAATGCATTTTAACACATTACAATGGCTTTTAATTTGTCAAGAATAGGGTCAGACTCCCAGAACAGGAAGGAAGTTCATTTTAACGAGTGACTATGAACTTTAGCCTGGCTAATAAATTAAGCTTAGATGCAAGTAGGTGATAAAATATCTAGGGTTGGCAGGAAAATCTAGGGTAGGTCAGGATATTTTTTTGCCCAAGAGGTATTTAAATTGTTAAAGGAAACAGAACAGAATATTATATCCTAATTAATAGTTTAATCAACTTTTTACAGAAATTGTAAATCATGTACACAATGTACATAGATCTATCAGTATATTGCGATGCAAGATTTGGGTACCAGTACCTTATTTTATTACATCTGCATATCTAAGAACATTTTACAGAGGCAAAATTTCAGCAAGTCTAGTAAAATTTGACCTGAAAATAGGATAGGAGAAATCATTTTTTTTTTAAAAAAAGGAAGATCTGAATTTGACCATAAATTTGCCTTTCCTGTCATTTTCAGGTAGGACATTTTTCAGGTCAAATTTACCTAAGAAGCTATAGAATACATAGTCAAGTTGGAAACTGCTTGATCAACTGACTACCATTTTTAAAAACATGAATTTCTTATCTCAATGTTTTATGAATTTAAAGGGATATACGGCTGTTTTAATTAGGTCTATTGAATGGACCAGCTCGCATTATATCAGGTCATATTTATGATGACTGAATCTAATATCTACATATTTGTATACCATAACCTATAATGAAACGCGTTACGTTTGATGTACATAGGCATATAACTGTCTAAATGTTGAGATATATATTTATATATATTTTGATTTTAAAATGGTCAAATCTTTATTACAATTTCAATTCAACTGAAATATTTAAGCCAAGGAGCAAAATGTCTTTTCTTATAATATAGTTTTTTTTAAATTTTTGCAGAATATTTCAATTAGAAAATTAATTCTAAAAAGACTATAAACAGAACAACATCCTCAGCTATATAATGCTATGATAAATATTCGTCAAAAAAACACCTAATAATTAAACCCATAAAGATAACAGAAATGTTTATGGAGGATTATAGCCAAAAGATTTTCAGTGGAAATAATATCAGATGAGTTATACATGATATTCATTTCTCACATACTTCACATGGTGATCCCATTGTTGTTAGGGAAAAGATAACTCTATCTTACACGGAGTAGGGAAAGACATCTGACACGTGCTATGATGTCATAATAATGGATTGTCGACGTGACGTCATTTTATTGTTTCCGTGATGTCATACAATTGTTGTGAATGGGGAATCATCCGTCTCAACCATAGGGCTTTGGGGGTTTTCCGCAAGAATAAGTCGATGTTTATTCCGACTGGAATTTGTTTATTTGTATGTATGTGAGAAAAATAATCAAACATGGGTCTGTTCCGTGGACAGGGATATCTCAATACGAGTGTAAGAGTTTGGCTGGCCAGCACTCGACAAGCCTCGTGCTGACCAGCCAAACTATTACACTCGGGTTGAGATATCCCTGTCCACGGAACAGACCCATGTATTCCTTAATTGAAAGAATACCATAAAACCTTGATACAGATCAAATAGACAAAGTACACTATGACAACCCCCACTGTTCTAACAAAAGTAGTCTCCCTTACTTCCTCAAGACAAAGGGTGTATATACATAATAAACAGTTCATAAACATAAACATTATGGCACAACTCCATATGATGTTATTATTATTGCTGTTAAAAGCCTTTAAGGAAGATTAATGCATAAAACTGATTTAACCAAAAGACCTCTTAGTTTTTACAACAATTATGAAACAAGTTTTTCCAACTTATATTAATTAATCGCTATAGTTTCCTGGATCCAGCAATGATGTGGGAGGAAACTGGAGTACCTGAAGAAAACCAATGGTCAATTGGGAAAGGTACCCAACATTTATTCACGTTTAACCCTTTCACCACTGTAGACCATAATGGACTCATCCAGATCAATGCATGGTAGAGTCTACTTAAGTTACAAAGGGGTAAAAGGGTTGATGACAGGATTTCTTTTTTTGACAGTTTGATATCATATATTTACAAATAATGATGATTAAATGGTAAATGAAAAACTTAACAAAACTTCTACTTAAAAATCTACAATCAATTTACTCAAATTCAAAAAATATATAACACATGGTCACTTGAGATTGGCTATACATATCTATATATATACTGTGATACAGGTTTGGTAAAATAAGGAAAATCACTTTGCTAGAAACAGTGCATCCTCAAAATCCCAGGGGTTATGCTCTCTTCATTCTGTGCAACCCTGGAATATGTCAAAAGTCAAAATAAAATCAAAGACACAAGGTAAGCTATTTCTGTGTACAGCGCCTTCAATTTTTTCATGACATATTCAAGTGGTTGCAAAGAATGTAAGTCGGCGAAACCCCTGAAATTTCTAGGAAGCAATGTAATCAGTATGTAGTGTCAATAAGTTATTTTTTTCTAGAAGGTGAACTAAAAACATTCCAGGGTGAGAAAAGATAACATGATAAAGTACTTTGTGTTACTCATACTGGCATCATAATAGTCTGTGTTAGGTGTAAAGGCACTATTTGTGAATGAGAGTTACTTCCCTTTATAAGGCTCTGACATGTACATATACATGTATATTGTGTTTTAGTCATGCAGATCAAAATTAGAGGATTATGCACTTATATATGTAGGTAATAGTGATTCTAAATGGGAAATTCGAAATTACATAGGATGTTTAATTTGTTGTTCATACAAAGTTGTTAATCACATGTAATTACTCTATATAGTGTTATTAACGAGGGCTGTTGCTGTTACATCACACAGGTAAATGATATATTTGACACCTTTTTTTCTTCTAAGGTGTTCTTGATAATCCCTACTCATTAAGTGGATCAAACGATTGATAAATGATTTTTTTTACATCAACCAAATAATTGTAAAATTATGTAAATAATTCCATATTAGCTAGTTCATACGAAACATTTTATGAAACTAATAGTTTCGTACAAATATCTTGATAACTATATTATATAAATTATCATTAATTAAAGGAAAGTTCTCCCCCTTCCCTCCATCTCCGGTCGTAATTAAATTTATACTTTGCAAATCCTAAACTAGCATTCTGGTATATATTTCCTTGACATCTTCCACATGCTATTGAGGAGCATTCCTGGAGTGCTTGTGCTTAGAAAAAAAATTGTATACCAGAATGTCTGCTCCGGACATCGGACCTGCGTCGAGACTTACTTCTATTTATCTCACTCTGTGACCTTGAGGAAAATATCGGTTTTGTCAGCGGGTGGATTGATGGATCGCCAACATTGTCTGGAAAAAAAATATCACAAATTATTGAATATTCAAACCATCATAAAAACTGATATGACTTGAAATCTAAAGGTTCTGATTGGTACTCAGTAGTTTCAGGGCTTCAAAAAGACATTTTATTTATGGAAGGGAACACAGAGGTTTCAGTACTAATGATAAAAGATTAGAAATTAATGGTAAACATCTCAAAAGCTAGAAAATGTCTGTAAGTCATGAATGCCCCCGCCTCCATGTGAAATTAGTTTCAGTGTTTACATTGAAACAGGACAGGACGGACATGGGAAACCCCCATTTTATGGCGGGGACATAAACAAAAGGTAACACCACACACGCAAATAATCAGAATGGACAGAAAGATGTCAGAAATCGAAACTGTGGACAGAAAAACAGAAGCTTTAATTAATGCATTTGTCTGTGGCTAACTATACATGACTCATCTATAGCAAATTTCCCCATCAGAGCACTGGACATGGTGTCATCCACAATACAAAGGACCCTAGACCATGACATCGGTAATCTTGTTCAAGCATAGCTGTACTGCAGAAGACTTGAGGAAGATATAATACGTAGAGGTATTTTTTTCTGAGAGAGAGTACACAGATGTGTACTAAGGGGTACTACACAGAGGTGTACTACACAGTCGTGTACTATGGGGTGCTACACAGAGGTATACTATGTGGTACTACACAGTGGTGTACTGTGGGGTACTACACTGTGGTGTAATATGTAGTACTACACAGTGGTGTACTATGGGGGACAACACAGAAGTGTACTATGTGGTACTACACAGAGGAATACTATGTCGTACTACACAGTGGTGTACTATTGGGTACTACACAGAGGTGTACTATGGGGTACAACACAGAAGTGTACTATGTGGTCCTACACAGTGGTGTACTATGGTGTACTACATAGTACACTTCTGTGTTGTACCCCAAAGTACACCACTGTCTAGTACCACATAGTATACCCCCGGGTAGTACCCGATAGTGCACCTCCTTGTAGTACCACATAGTACACCTCTGTGTTGTACCACATAGGATACCTCTGTGTAGTGCCACATAGGATACCTCTGTGTAGTACCCCATAGTGCACCTCTGTGTAGTATCCCATAGTGCACCTCTGTGTAGCACCCCATAGTACACCACTGTGTAGTACACCACTGTGTAGTACCACATAGTGCACCTCTGTGTAGTACCCCATAGTGTACCTCCGTGTAGTACCCCATAGGACACCTCTGTGTAGTACACCATAGTAGACCACTGTGTAGTACCACATAGTACACCACTGTGTAGTACCCCATAGTACCCCTCTGTGTAGTACCCCATAGTATGTACACCACTGTGTAGTACCACATAGTGCACCTCTGTGTAGTACCCCATAGTGTACCTCTGTGTGGTACCCCATAGTACACCTCTGTGTAGTACCACATAGGACACCTCTGTGTAGTACCCCACAGAACACCACTGCGCAGTACCCCATAGTGCACCTCTGTGTAGTATCCCATAATGCACCGCTGTGTAGCACCCCATAGTACACCACTGTGTAGTACCACATAGCGCACCTCTGTGTAGTACCCCATAGTGTACCTCTGTGAAGGACTCCATAGTACACCACTGTGTAGTACCACATAGTGCACGTCTGTGTAGTACCCCATAGTGTACCTCCGTGTAGTACCCCATAGGACACCTCTGTGTAGTACACCATAGTAGACCACTGTGTAGTACCACATAGTACACTTCTGTGTTGTCCCCCATAGTACACCACTGTGTAGTACCACATAGCGCACCTCTGTGTAGTACCCCATAGTGTACCTCCGTGTAGTACCCCATAGGACACCTCTGTGTAGTACACCATAGTAGACCACTGTGTAGTACCACATAGTATACCTCTGTTTAGCACCCCATAGTACACGACTGTGTAGTACACCTCTGTGTAGTACCCCATAGTACACAACTGTGTAGTACCACATAGTATACCTCTGTGTAGTACCCCATTGTACACCACTGTGTAGTACCACATAGTACACCCCCATAGTACACCTCTGTGTAGTACCCAATAGTACACCACTGTGTAGTACGACATAGTATACCTCTGTGTAGCACCCCATAGTACTCGACTGTGTATTACACCTCTGTGTAGTACCCCTTAGTACACAGAGGTGTACTACACAGTCGTGTACTATGTGGTACTACACAGAGGAATACTATGTCGTACTACACAGTGGTGTACTATTGGGTACTACACAGAGGTGCACTATGGGGTACAACACAGAGGTGTACTATGTGTACTATGGAGTACTACACAGAGGTACACTATGGGGTACTACCCGGGGGTATACTATGTAGTACTACACAGTGGTGTACAATGGGGTACAACACAGAGGTGTACTATGTGGTACTACAAGGAGGTGCACTATCGGGTACTACCCGGGGGTATACTATGTGGTGCTACACAGTGGTGTACTATGGGGTACAACACAGAAGTGTACTATGTAGTGGTGTACTATGGGGTACTACACAGAGGTATACTATGGGGTACAACACAGAGGTATACTATGTGGTACTACACAGTGGTGTACTATGGGGTACAACACAGAAGTGTACTATGTGGTACTACACAGTGGTGTACTATGGTGTACTACACAGAGGTGTCCTATGGGGTACTACACAGAGGTACACTATGGGGTACTACACAGAGGTGCACTATGTGGTACTACACAGTGGTGTACTACACAGGGGTGTACTATGGGGTACAACACAGAAGTGTACTATGTGGTCCTACACAGAGGTGTACTATCTGTACTATGGAGTACTACACGGAGGTATACTATGTGGTACTCCACAGTGGTGTACATACTAGGGGGGAATACACAGGGGTGTACTATGGAGTACTACACGGAGGTATACTATGTGGTACTACACGGTGGTGTACTACACAGTGGTGTACATACTATGGGGTACTACAAAGTGGTGTACATACTATGGGGAACTACACAGTGGTGTACGTACTATGGGGTACTACCCAGTGGTGTACTATGTGGTACTACAGAGTGGTGTACTACACAGTGGTACACTATGTGGTACTACACAGAGTTGTACTATGTGGTACTACAGAGTGGTGTACTACACAGTGGTGTACTATGTGGTACTACACAGTGGTGTACTACACAGTGGTATACTATGTGGTACTACACAGAGGTGTACTATGTGGTACTACACAGAGGTGTACTATTGGGTACTACACAGAGGTGTACTATGGGGTACTACACAGTGGTGTACTATGGGGTACAGATGTTTTGGTACTTGTATAAGACACTTCTGTACTTTAAAAATGTCATTTTGTTATTTTTAAGAGTTTTACGACTTAGACGGACATTTCAACTTTGTATTTAGTTTGCCTTATTTTTTGGTCCGATTTGTTAACAACTTATTTTTTTTTAAATTCTTCAGCTTTTTTTCCTGTTTAAAAAGAAGAACAGAAACATTCTACTCTATGATACGATACCAAAACTACAAGTACCGAAATGACTAAAAGTTCATGCACCGTCATTGCCTAGTTGCTCGTTACTGATTTACTTAGTAGTCCAGAATTTACCACCTAGTGAAGACATTTGAAAAAAAAGAAACCTCAGTTACATATATGTATAATTGGATTAATCACTAGTTGAGCCCAATTTTGAAGAAAAAAAACAACAGAATAAAGCTGTTGGGCTATTGTAGTGGTACACATCTCCTTATCAGCTTTACCCATAAGTGCCAAGTGCCCAAATATCTTTCCGGAGTGTAATAGGAATGGAAAAAATGCACGGCCAGACTGGATTTGAACCTGGGATCCTCTGAACTCTAGACAGACAATCTTACTAATTGAGCTACCTGGTCGCCGGTATTAGACCCAGTCCAGTACACAGAAAGCAGAATTAGTAGTAATAGAAATCGTCAATTTGACATTGAGTAGTATTGACCTAACCGAAACAGGTGCCAATTTTAAATGTTCCAAAAAGTGGGTGTGGCCCCATATTAACCTTCTGGGAGGATCTCTCGATCACTGATGTGAGGTACTCCATGTAGAGAAGAAACACTTTGGTTCTTCGCTTCCAATCCAACCTCCTCACTGCGAACAGATACCGCTGGACGGTATGCATCCTCAGGTTTTCTCGATTTTGGGCTGTAGATGCAGCTACAAGATTGCTTGTTCCCCATGTTGATTTCTCTACAAGGCAAATGCTCCTCAACCGTCTCAGTTGAAAAAGATGCCTTACATCAGTTTCAGATCATCATCAATTACAACAATTAATCAAACAGATTACAGTAAGAGCATATCAGATGTCATCTCACATTCACGTGAAACTATATTGATGTCAGTGTTAAATATGAATGGATGCGATGCTGCTGTATGATGTATCCGTTATCACAAAGAAACTTCGACCTTTAAGGAAATAGTTGAGTCACTATCGGGGTCAACCGGCACATCTTCATCTTGTTGTTGGTTTATGGCATGTTGTTATGTATAAAATTACGCATGTGTTGATAAATGAATTATGGATTAAAGGCTTTCCAGTCGTTCACACATCAATATACCGACAAGCAGTAGGTCTTCTCAGTATCCGAAGTTAATTGACAGCAGGTCTCTGATTGGTTAAAAATATCTGGCGGAAGTTGTCTTGATTTCCTGTGTTTTCCCCGCGAAAGAAGATTTTTTGTGTGAAATGAAGAAACTATTTTGATGATGTAGAAGAAAACCCATTCCTCCTGTTTTTTCATCAAGATGGTAAGGATATGAACGTCTTTTTATGTTCAATCAACAGGTTTTCAGGATCGTACGGTCCGATTAAAGGAAGATTAATAGCAATGGCCGCCTGCCGGTGCCCCCCCCCCCCCCCCCCCCCCCCCTTCTCCGTATTCTTTATGTGAACTCATTGTAGGAAATGTCGCTCTAATACTACACACCTATGCCTTGCTTGGGCTCATGTTCCGTTTTAATTTATTGTATTGAAGACATAAAAAATATGCCACATAGTCATTAGGCATAAGGACGAGTTTTTTCTTTCGTTCTGATTGCTTATTTTAGAGGTAACTCAACAAGATACAAGCACAGGGGTTCGTCACAAATGTCTGAAATACACACATGCTATAATGGTATGGATCACAGCACACATAAACATACACAGGGGTTCGTTACATATGTCTGAAAAAAACATGCTATACTGATAAGTTTGTGTGTGCTGTCCCATATCAGTATATTGTGTATTTCAGACATTTGTAACGAACCCCTGTCAGTGTTTTTATTACCTAAATTTTAAAACAGCCTGTTCCTTTATGAATTGGGAAAATATAGCATTATTTGTATTGAAATTGGGAATATATTCCTCAGTTTTGGGTCATTTTGGGGAAATAAGGCACTTTTAGCTTGGGGAAACAGCCTGTATTCGGCAGTAAAACTGAGCCAAAACATTAACTGCCTGTGATACAAGCAAATGAGTCTGACGTTTAAACTATAACAAAGATTGAGAGGAGTTGACCTTTTTTTTTTTTTTAAATAATGGACAACCAACTTGACCAGAAGGTAACAAAAGGAATCTTTGAGTTAGATACATCATCTGGAACAATAGGACATGCACAGAAAATCAGGAAAAAACAAGTGGAAAAATGCACAGCCAGACCGAGGTTTGAACCCGGGACCTTCCGAACTCAAGACGGACGCTCAACCAATTGAGCTATCTGGTCGCCGACGATCGACCCAGTCCAGTTCTGCTACACAAGCAGAAATATTGTCGAAATCTGGAACAGTCTCCCAGGATATGTTATTACATCACCAACAATTAAAAACTTTGAAGTTAATCTTGATACTTGTTGGAATAATCTTGAACTGAAATACAATCATTTGGCCGGCCATAAAGAAATCTCAGGATATGACAATTAACGAATGATATTTTCTAAATACGTTTAAAATATATTATGATATGGATATACAGGCAGAGTGTCTGCCTGCATGCATCCATTATTTATCCTATTGTATAACAATCTGTATATAAAAAAGAACCCTTATACTATAAAAAATTACAAAGGGTACTTTTATATGAAGATTGTTATAGTTATATTGATAAAAATTACGTCTGCAGACTCCTTTGATGCAAGATATCTTGTGCTTTACAACTTATATATATAATCTGCCTTTCTTGATGACTCATTTGAGAGCTGGGACCAGATCATAGATCTATACCACCTCCTGTGAGACAGTTTATGATGTTGTCATAGAAAATCAGAAAGTAAAAAAAAAGTTCTTTGATATAGAATTTTAAAATTAACATTAAAACTGACAGTGCTAAAATTGTTGATTCAAAAATAACCTCTTTTTACATATTTTTGGGGGTTTATTTTTTTGTCCGGTATAAGAGTTTATTTACCTGCCCGAATGTCCTGCAATGATTTTAAATTGATAACGTAATCAAATGCAAAGAATGATTCTCAATTAATAAACAAACCAAGTAAAAAAATATTGAAATAAACACAATTTCCCAAATGAATAGGAATAGCTGAGGTAAATTTGACTATGCAGATTAAATGACTAAATAAGAATGTATCATAGACCTACCTTTAATTTACTGACATTTATTAGTAAAACATATAAAAAGTTCATTAGAATTGGTGTTCAACACTGAGCAAACTTGTGCTTCAGAAACTGAAAGTGACACTTAATGGTTGAACTTGTAAGCTAATTAGTAATGACAAAAAAACATGCAAAAACATTTAACTGTTGGTAACAATGAGTAAATAACATGAATTCACAATAACAAAAACAGAATGAAATATCAAGTCATGTAGTTGTCTATTTTATTTCCTCCTGGTTTTCAAAAAAGCTCTATTATAATTGGAAATCTGGTTACGAAGGTCGCCGATTCCAACCGATGATCAATTGGCATTTTTAACTGTTTACCCAAAACTCTGCTTACACATGTAGTTCAAAGTTGGGGGTAAATCAAACATAGGTAATGTATTTTACCCCCTTATGTGGCAAGCCATATAATTATCATATTGAGGGTCAAGAGCCATTTTAGAAGGTCATATACCTTATATGGATGTTTATGGAAGTCTTTAGTGCAGCCCATTCGATTTGGTTTGGTTTGGTTAAATTTTGTTTAAGGTTGTATTAACAGCCAAGGTCTTTTAAGGACTTGCCTCAGCTCCATGTGTGTAGTGTATGCGTGCTTGCGTGTGTGTATGCAGGAGACAGGGTATGTTGGCGTGCTTGCCTCCTTGTGATAGTGCGGATCTGATGGCGACTTTATAGGGCTATCTCGCTGAAATACCATGCCGAAGGCACCACAGTGAAATAATTAGGGCCCCGTATCGGAGATACGGGTGCCCTATAGTAATCACTATAGTAATCATGTCTGTCTGTCTGTCTGTCTGACTGTCTGTCTGTCTGTCTGTCTGTCTGTCTGTCTGTCTGTCTGTCTGTCTGTCTGTCTGTCTGTCTGTCCACAAATTTTGTTCCTGGCTGATAACTTTTGTATTTATTGACCGATGTACATGAAACTTGGTCAAGATGTTCAGTTCACAAAAATACACATTGAGGTAAAAAGTCAAGGTCAAAGGTCAAGGTCATTAGGTTCAAAGGTCAGGGTCAAATTTTACATCTTTTCACTGATGAACAATTTGTTATGACATTATGAAGCAAAGTTGATCAGAATAAAACAAGGAGTCAACTGACCAAAGTTCAAGGTCATCGGGTCAGGGGTCAAGGTCAAATTTTGTAGCTTTTCACTGGTGAACATTTCGCTATGACATTATGAAGCAAAGTTGTTCGGAATTAAACAGAGAGAGACGCAGAGGTAAAAAGTCGAGGTCAAGGTCATTATATTCAAAGGTCAAGGTCAAATTTTGCATCTTTTCACTGATGAACATTTTGTTATGACATGATGAAGCAAAGTTGATCAGAATTAAACAAGGAGTCAACTGACTGAAGGTCAAGGTCAAAGGTCAAGGTTAAATTTTGTATCTTTTCACTGGTGAACATTTCGCTTTGTCACTTTGAAGCAATGATGCTCAGAATTAAACAAGGAGTCAATTGACCAAAGGTAAGGGTCACTTGGTCAAAGGTGAAGGTTAAATTTTGTACGTTTTCCCTGATGAACATTTTGTTATGACATTTTGAAGCAATGTTGTTCAGAACTTAACACAGAGTCAACTAACATTAGGTCCAGGTTACGGGGTCCAAAGGGTCAAGGTCAAGTTTTGTATTTTTCACTGATGAACATTTTGTTATGATATCAAGAAGCAAAGTTGGTCGGAATTAAAGAATAAGTCAACTGACCAAAGTTCAGGGTCACTGGGTTAATGGTCAAGGTCATTTGGGTCCAAAGGTCAAAGACAAAGTGGATCTCTGACTTTGACCCTGGCTCTTGATGGAGGAGGTATATAAGGTGAAATAAAACAAATCAAAGCTAACAAATGAGTATTGCACCGGTATTTACATTTCTGTTAGCCCAGCAAATATGGAGGTGGAAGGAAACAAGACTCGCATCATAGTACATGTAAAATGAACGTGCGATTCTTTTTGAAGTCCAAATGTCAAACGTCAAGCGCAGCTATATGGGCAGATTGCTTCTTGATGATTATGGGGGATATATTGCCACAAGATGGGGCCCTTACTGACCTGTCAGTGTTATAGTTTTTTTCAATTTATAGTAAGCAATTGATGCAGACCATGTTTTCTTAACGATTTCTATAGGTGATGAAATGGGACATCAGCAAAAAGTATGCCTGTCATGGCCAAGTAAAGCAGAGAGGTATTACCACTGGGTCAGGGAAGTGGAAGACGGGCAATGTTTGTGTACATTTTGTCAACGGCAAGTGGAAACTGGAGGTGTTCTACTGTACAGCCCCGAACAAATCTGTAACATCAACCGAGGTATGTTGTAGTATTTATTTCATCTACCAGATACATAGCAGGAAATTAGCTAGAACTAGCAGGAAATTAGCTAGAACTAGCAGGAAATTAGCTAGAACTAGCAGGAAATTAGCCAGAACAAGCAGGAAATTAGCCAGAACAAGCAGGAAATTAGCCAGAACTAGCAGGAAATTAGCTAGAACTAGCAGGAAATTAGCCAGAACAAGCAGGAAATTAGCCAGAACTAAGTTTCAAAAAAGGTCAGGCATTTGGTGATGAGTTGCTTGAATGTCTCAAACATATCAATCAACAGTGTTTTTGTCCAGAATTATGGATGCTTAACAACAATTTAAAGAAATGATATACACGATAAGGTATATTAAATTTGAGGATTTTGATTTTTAAAAAAAACTGTATTAGCCACCCGGCCTGAAGATCCAAGTGAACTTGGCACAGCATCTGGCATCGACTTTTGCTTTAAAAGCCTACTAGTGAATTTGGTAAGGAGCATCCATAGAACAAGGGAGGTTAATATTTATAAGACTTTTTCAATTAAAATTTATCTTATAAGTATATAAACTTACATATATCTTAAAAGTATAATTCTTTTTGTAGGTGAACAATACTAATATTGAAGGGGTGATCTGTAAGAACCAACTGGTCATCACACTGAGGAACAAAACGGAAGCCTCGGCCATCCAGTTCAGGCCGGAGTCTTCCGCTACCCAGTACACTAAACCGATGTCAGTATTGGACCAACTAATCAAGGACATTTGTGCTGGGAAAAGTGGTAAAAAAAAAGAATTAGAAGTGTACCATATTAAACTAAAGAAAAGATTCTGTATAAAACCTCTTTTCTGGAGCAACCAGTTAACCCATTCACCCCTGAAATTTCATAATGAACTATTCCAACCTTTGAATTGGAAGGGTTCAAGTGTGTTTTCAGGGGTCAATGAGTTAATCAAAAATTAAGAACATCTACAAACCTCTTTACTATCAAGTAGTATAGTAATTCATCTGAAAAAGGCAAAACTTGAACTACATTCAGTTCATAGTTAATATAATTCTGGACAGGGTTGCAGACAAGTAAACAGAATGCACAAATGCATGTTATTCAATTTGTCTCACATGCACTGCAATCCTGTTCAGAACACTCGCTGCAGGGCTAGATAATAAGGGTAGCCCGATAGTCTGAGACTAGTGAAATCTCCAGTCTGATAGACAAGTCCGAGACTAGTGAAATCTCCAGTCTGATAGACTAGTCCGAGACTAGTGAAATCTCCAGTCTGATAGACAAGTCAAATCGATGTTACCTATAATCATGTTGAATAGTATAATGGGTTTGTCGATTTGCACATGGACTAGTGAAATTTGGAAACTACTAGCCCAACAGATTAGTGTTTTTGAAAATGAATTTTGAGCCCTGTGAACAGAACGCAGTTGATTGTTTTAGTTTACTGTAACCAATAGATCGAAAGTGAATTCATTTTGGAACAGAATTGGAGCGAGTGATAGTTCTGTTATGAACTAAACTAGTACCTACCTGAACATTGAGCATCTCAATGTTTTAGTCTATATTTCTAGTAGGGACTATTCCAGCAAAGTATCTTTCCCACCCAGGACTCGAGATATTACTTAGTGGTGCTACCTTTAGAATTTGATCAATGATAATAAAGTCTTTTTTCTAGGTCCCATGTCATTTTTTTTTATATTTATTAATTTAATGCAACCCTCATCATACCTGTATAAATTTCAGCTGTTGTAAAGACGTAAAATTGTAATGTACCAATTTAACACCGATATATTGAGACATCCTTTATTCCCAAGTGGCGTTTGGCTCAGGTGACCTATTCTGATAATCTTTCGAGTGTCGTGCAATGTGCGTTGTCTGTAAACTTCTTATATTAAGAACCAGTCGATGGAATCTTTTCAAACTTGTTTAAACTCTAAAAATATTTGACATGACAAGGCAATTATTATAGCTGATAGTTATGATTTCATTACAGCACCAGAATCTCATCAGAGTCCTTCTGTGGTGTGTGTTACTGGGTGGCAACAGAACGGAACCAAGACACCTTCCAAACAAGGACCGGCTAAAGACTCAAGCTTTACAAGGTATACAATAGAGGTTTCTTTAAATCACAATCGGAGGTACCTAGGGGTGTAACGATTCACCGATGCATCAATGTATTGGATCGCAAGGGCCGCGACACGATGCACCGATGCGGCAAGACTGTATCGTGATACCTACGCCACTTTTAATTTTGTACTCTCCCTTGTTTTCTGTACCTTAGAATATGTCATGACACAATTGTAGGCTCACAATGAGCTATTTGATTGCTTGGAGACATAAAAAAAACTGAATCACAATGCTGATAGTGGTATTTGTACATTGAAGATTATCTGAGATCGTATCAGTTTAAACATAATACTGCCACACAAGTCAATTAATAATGAACACATTACACAAGGTCACTGGTATGCAGTGATGGTCAACCAATGTCATCTGAAAGGTGTCGCATACAGGGTTTCATTATAATTATTATTATTTTTTGCAATAAAAGTGTTTCAGTATATATGTATAACAGTGATTTTTGGGACTCGGACAACTGAGTCATGGACTAATGCTTTTCCTATGGGACTC